TGATAGAAGAAAACTTCCCTAACCTAAAGAAGGATATGCCTATGAAAATACAAGAATCTTATAGAACACCAAATAGGCTGGACCAGAAAAAGAAGTCCCCTTGCCACATAATAATCAAAACATGATGTTGACCTGAGAATGGGGCTGGAATAAAGGAGGACTAGTGGATGGGATAACCAAAAGGAAGACTGTATGAAGAAGTCTCATGAAATCACACTTTCATTCAAGTTATTAGGAAATACAATTTTAAAACATTGAGCAGGGGCATCCTCCATGCTGCTTCCAGGAAAAGGGTATGCATTTCAACTCTCTGTACCAAGTACTGGTTATAAGTCTAAGAATTACTGGACATGAATGCCAGAGAGTCATCCCAAACAAAATGTGGCATTGCCAGTGATCTTTCTTGAACAACCTAACTACATTTTGTTGCTAAATAGGCCAGTTTACATGTTTTTGTGTGTATTGGTGCAGTTTTCTGAGTGAGAGACAGCAGGAAACACACACACACACACACACACAGAGAGAGAGAGAGAGAGAGAGAGAGAGAGAGAGAGAGAGAGAGAGAGAGAGAGAGAGAGAGAGAGAGAGAGAGAGAGAGAGAGAGAGAGAGAGAGAGAGAGAGAGAGAGAGAGAGAGCAGTGTTATATGTACCTGGAAACTCTCCTTCCTGGCTCCCTTTTGTAGGCTGCAGGCAGAAATAATTGTCAAATGTGTTACTTTCCCCTGAATCCAACATATTACAATACCATCCTACTGGGCAAGTTCTTCTTACTGGTGAAATGTTGCATGACTGCTTATGGGTATAACCAATGTCTCTCTTGATTGGTTTAGATACCTGACTTATAGAGAAAAATTGATGCTTTGGTCAAAAATTCAGTCTTGGGAATTATATGTCAATTGAGTCAACCTATTTCTGTTTTTAATGATAATCTGTCATCTAAATACCCATGTTTAAAATTATCACTTTCTACTACTCTCAAACTTGGTGAAAGAGGTCTCCCCTTGCAGTTGGTAGAGGATAATGCAGAGACTCATAACTCTTCAGAAGTACAATGAATGATCAACTGTGTAGTACTGGGGTAGTTATGATTTCTTTCTGGCTGAGGGAAGACCCCATGAGTCTGCTATACTTCCATGAGAATGTATGGCAAGTTAGTGAAACATCATTTATGTTTGTGTAGTAAATATTTTCCCATTTTTCATTACTTCTTAATGAAATCATGAATTTCCTCTAATATTTCTTCCTTTTTTTTCATTGTTTTGTTATATGACATTGGGTTTCTCTGTGTATCTCTATTTGCCTTGGAGTTTTAACTTTGAAACCTGGTGAACTCTCAGTGATCCACTTGTTTCTGCCTCCAGAATTTGGAAATTATGCACCACTGAGCCAAGAGTCAATGGAGATTTCATTTCTTTTTATTTTTATTTATTTTTTGTTTTTTCGAGACAGAGTTTCTCTGTATTGTTTTGGAAACTGTCCTGTAACTCACTATGTGGGCCAGGCTGGTCTTGAATTCACAGAGATCCACCTGCGTCTGCCTCCCAAGTGCTGGGATTAAAAGCATGGGCCACCAACGCTCAGCCCATTTTTTTCATAAATTAAAGAAATCTCATTTACATATCAATCTTTCATCTCTATCTCTCCAGTCCTTCCAATTGCCCCACCATCTCCCAATCCTACCCTCATTCACTCCTCAGAGAGAATGAGGCCTTCCATGGGGGATCATCAATCTGTCCCAATATATGGCACAGTACCAAAGCCCTCTTCACTGTGTCTTGGCTGAGCAAGGTATTCCTCCATAGGGAATGTGCTCCCAAAAGCCTATTCATATACTAGGGATAAATACTAGTACCACTGCCAGTGACCCTAGACTCCTCAAGCGCCCCAGCTCATACCCACAATCAGGGGGCCTAGTTCAGTGTTTTGCAGATTACCCAGGTGTCAGCCTTGAGTCCCTAAGCCCCCACTTGCTTAGGTCCTCTGATTCTGTGGGTTTCCCCAACACAGTCTTGAACCCTGTTGTTCATCACTCCTCCCTCTCTACAACTGGAGTCCAGGAGCTCAGATCAATGCTTAGCTGGGAATCTCTGCTTCTGCCCCATCAGCTCCATTGTTGATGGTAATGCAAACTCATACAGTTACTGTGGAAATCAGGATGTTGGTTTCTCAGGAAATGGGAATTGATCAACCTCAAGACATAGCATTTCCACTCTTAGTAATATAATCAAAAGCTGCACACTCACACCACAAGGACAAACCACAAGAGGAATCTTCTTTTTTTGCATATGTCAAGTAGTTTTATTTTTGTTTGTTTTTTATTGTTTTATTTTGAAAAAGGTTTTCACTGTGCATCACTGAGCCAAAGCCATTGGGGATTGCTGAGACATTTGTGCGCATTCCTGTTATGTCTGCTGCTGATTGTGTGGTGGGCAGCCCATTTGGTTGCAAAGGCAAGGCATAGGTAAAGGAGGGCTGAGTTAGACTTCGCTGATCCTTTGTGTATATAGAATTTACTAAACAGAGATAGATTCATGCTGTTCTAAAACATTTATCATGTCATTTTTGTTTCCAGGGTTGTGTTGTTTAACACCTTTTTATATCTTTAGTCATCATTGATAAACTGAAAAAGCAGTTATCTATTACAATCATTTTTAATTACCAGCTCCATAACCCAACTTCTAAGAATCTAGAGGCAATTGAAGCCCATTCACAGGTGGGCAGTTCTTGATGTTTGAAGAAATCTAGATAGAAAAAATGTCTTAAGCCAGCCCTGGCAAGTTGCCATTTACCTAGCAATGTTTTAATAACTCTTAATGGTCACTGTATTCAAGAAAGATCCTCAGCCCAAACCTGCTGCAGGTTAATGTTCTTTTTCTGACATAATACAATATTCAAGTTCTATATCTTTACTAATTTAATGCATATATGTAATCCTAGTACTTTTATTCCATCGTCATAAGATACCACAGTAGCCCTGCACAAGCTAACTTTTCTAGGAATGGAGGTCCTGACACCTCTTTCTTTGATCAGTTTTCACAGTATTCTTTTCCCATTGATATGAATTACTGTGTAAGGCAGAGGTAGCTCTAGCCATTCTAATTTTGTTACTGGGTATACCACATAATCACCTGAACATACTGAAGGAAGACTTGGACTTTGTTCTGATTAACTTATTTTTGAGTAAGTACAGGCATGGATGTTTCAAGACTATCTCAGAGCCTTAACAAGAGACGTCTGTCTTTATGTGCATCGCATCCTAAAAGGCATAAGGAAGATCTTTAAATTAGATGAGTATATCTCCCTAAAATCAGAGAGGTTCTATGCACATGATATTCCTGGGGAAGCTTACCAGTACTCCTAGGAGAAGTCATGAATGATTCATAAGAATTTCCATAATTCCAATATGTCCATGTTGTACAGATATGAACCACCCCAATCATGCAAGATATGGAGGTCAAAGCATCAATTCAGGTTGAGGGCATCATATAGCTCAGGATCTTGGTCAAGATGCTGAGCTGGATCCATGACTTTCACAATTCTCATCAGAAATGTCTGAAATAACAAAGACAGCTTCTCTCTTTACATTTTCTCACCCTCTTTCTGTTTTAAAGTTTTATTCTACTATGAAGATTTTGAAGTGAGAAAATGGTGAGATCACTTGTTTGCATTTAATTTAGGGTGAGATTTGCTTTTGTGAGCAATTTGAACACTACAGAAAGGATTTGTCTAATTGAATATGTTTGATAGGTGTAACTTCTAATGGATAATGATGCATAGGTATTATGTATTGTGGCTCCAAAGGAGTCGGTGCCGAACCGGAAGCCGAACTCCGGGAAAAGAGACCGAGACTTCCTGTGTGCTGTCTTTTATGCCTTCCCCTGTAACGCCCCCTAGCCATGCCCAAAAGTGACGTAGTTTACCGCCTACGTAAGTATACGTCTTTACGTCCGGCCATATACGTCTTTAGTCATGCCTAAAGTGGGTGTGGTTAGCGGTGTGGTAAACCGCCCTTTTATTACCTCATCTGTATGCGCCTCTAGTAAGTCACATGTTTAATGGCGGCATACAGACTTCCTCCTACAATGTATGATAAAAATTTATGTAGTTCCTGGAAATATGAGTTGTGTTATGTACAGCAAATTAGAGGTCTTTCCTACATTTTTTGTTACTACATTTTGTCATTATTATTATTTATTATTATTATTGTTAAGACTGAGTATGAAGTCCTGAAAGCCCTAGAACTGAATATATAGACCATGGTGACCTCAGACTCACAGAGATCTTCTTGCCTCTGCCTACCAACTCCTGGGGTTGAAGGTATGTATCACCTTGCATGACATTATTCTCAATTTTTGGATGTTGATCAAGATACATATTTCACAACTGTGTTTAAGTACAGCTTCAGGGAATATGATGCCCTCTTCTGGCCTCCACAGTCATCAAACAAATACATACTGCCAGAAATTCTTGTAGCCAAGGCAACCACACACATTTAAAATAATTCACACAGTTATTTTGTCAGAATTTTATTTCAATATGAACTCTGTGTAATTTTATAAGTTTTAAAACTTATATAAAGGCTTTCAGAAGTTCCTTATCTTTGTTTCCATTATATATATCTGGGATTTTAAGTCAAGAACACTATATAAATGCTATGTCACATTATTTACAATGGTGTTTGCCTGTCCAGTGTGAACTCTCTGGTGGCTTCTAAGATTAGAAAGGTGGATATAATACATGCTACAATCTTAACTTTTGTGAAGTTTCTCTCTGTGATATGAATTTTCTGGTGTGCTCTAAGATATGAGCAGTTACCCAATATCTTCTTACATTCCTTTTGTCCATAATACGTCTCCCCAGTGTGAGCTCTCTGAGGGTGCACTAAAATATTTTATGTAGACAAAGGATTTGTCACATTCCAGATTTTTTTACACTTTCCATTTCAGTACAGACAATCTGAGTGTACGAAGATTTTTCTTGAAGGAAAAGGATGTCTCACGTGGCGTACATTTGTAGAGTTTCTCTCCAGTATGGACTCTCTGATGTTTTCTAAGATTTGAACTCTGGACAAAAGACATGTCACATTATCCACATCTGTAAGGCTTCTCTCTAGAATGAATTTTCTTATGTTTTCTAAGATATGTGCTTGTAGTAAAAGATTTGCCACATTCTCCACATTTATAAGATTTCTTTCCAGTATGCATTTTCTGATGTTCACCAAGATATGTGCATGTAGTAAAAGATTTGTCACATTCCTGGCATTTGTAAGGCTTCTCTCCTGTATGAATTCTCTGATGCACTGTAAGAGTTGACTTCACAGTAAAGGATTTGTCACAGTAATTACATGTGTACGGTTTCTCTCCTGTATGAATTCTTTGATGCTCTGTAAGAGTTGACTTCAGAGTAAAGGATTTGTCACATTCTTTGCATTTGTAAGGCTTTTCTCCTGTATGAATTCTTTGGTGCTGTTTAAGTTTTGACATCATAATAAAGGATTTGTCACAGTCCTTACATGTGTAAGGCTTTTCTCCTGTATGAATTTTGATATGCAGTGTAAGACTCGAGCTTGTAGTGAAGGATTTCCCACAGTCCTTACATTTGTAGGGCCTCTTTCCTGTATGAATTCTCTTATGCAATGTAAGATTTGAACTCACATTAAAGGACTTGTTACATTCCTTACATGTGTAAGGCTTGTCTCCTGTATGGATTCTCTCATGTTTTGTAAGGCTTGACTTCATAATAAAGGATTTGTTACAGTCCTTACACGTGTAAGGCTTTTCTCCTGTATGAATTCTGTGATGTACAGTGAGGTATGACGCAGTACTGAAGCATTTCTTACATTTCCCACACTGGTACCGTTTCTCTCCAATGTAGTTTTGTTGTTGCAAAGGAGTATATGTAGTGTCAAAACATTCATCATCTTCTCTCTCCCTGTGTTCTTTCTTTTTAGTGTAGAGTCTCTGATCTTGAGTAATGCTTGAACTCAAGTCTAAGGGTTTCTCAGAGTCTTTAGAATTGCAGGGTTTTTCTCCTGTGTGCACGCTTTCATGTATATCTGTGTTTGATAAGTCAAGAGAGGCATCTCCAGGACTACTGCATCTACAGTCATTAGAGTTTTCTGTAATTTCACTTATTCGAATAAGTGCACATGTGGAGGGGTCATGAAGAATTTTCCCAAACTGATTACAGTGATAAGACTCCTTTTCAGTCTTCCCATGTTGATGGACAGGATCATACATGAAATAGTTCTCTGGAAAATTAGTAAGCTCATATTAGTAAGGATTGTTACAAAATGAAACATCTGATAAATTATTGTCTCTCTTTGTTATCTCATTAAAAATGTCAACCATAAAGCACTTAGAGATGTTTCTCAAACACTAATTGAATGTGTTCTCACAAAATCAGACTGACAGTCTTAAATGTCAGTGAATTATAACAGACATCTCAACCTTATGAAAATGTGTAATGGCACAGGATGGATCAGGAAAATGAGGGAGAAATACTTAGCTTTGGGATGTGCTCATTGATTCATTAAATGCAGAAAACATGTGTTTATGTTTAAATAATTCCTTTGAAACTGATGAAGAGGAGGTTAATCCAATCCCAGGTCCACAGCACTTATACTATTAAGTAAGAGGCAATGAAGAGTAGTATTCATAAGACCAAATTCCTTAAAAGATTTAAGTCTTACTTAAAAGTATCACAGGGTTTATTTTTTCTCTAGAAAACCACATTAGATTCTTCAGAAGTAGAAAGAAAGGCAATATTCTGCCAGATATCAGGGAATAAGATCATTTGAGACCTGGCTGTCACAGGCATTGATGGGTTATTTGTATTCCCCATTGACTGAGACCCACATGGTACCATGTTTCTTTAACTTTCTTCACCGGGTTATTTGAGTCTAGTGGGTACACCAGCTCCTAGGAGTATTTTTCAGAAGGAAAGCTGTCTATCCTGTACTAGTAAGAAAATGAAGGATCCTCCAGCCTCTGGGGATGGTGGGGCATGAGAAAATGGGAGGGAGAGGGAGCTGGGATTGACATGTGAAGCAAGCTTGTTTCTAATTTAAATAAAAAAATCTAAAACTGAAAAAAAGAAAATTAAGGATTAACGTAAAGACAGACATCAAAGAAGGCTACTAAAAATAATCCTTTTTCAAGCATCCACATTAGGCTTATAGTTTGTGAAATTATTCTAATCTGATGTCAAGAACTTTAAATCAAATTGCATGTTGTACTAGTATTCTCATCATAATAGGCTCTTGTTGCAGTAGTTACACTGACAGGATGCATCCTTGTACCAAGAAGCTACACTAAATTAAATGATCAGGAATGCTTTCAAGTAGAATTGAATATGGCAAAAACCATTCTCGCCTCTTGCTTTCTCTTTTACCAGAAGCCATCATTCCCAAGCCCACCCTGATTTCTCTCCTATCCATATCCCAGGAGAATCTCATTTGCTTCCAAAAGGTTACCAGGCCTACCATGCATACACTAATCCACATCTTTCATCAAGTAGACCCTGACCCATGTGCAATTTTGAAAAAGAATACAGACATCTAACAAAGTACTCTCATCAGCAAATGAAGAGAACACAAAGCAGAGGAATATAGGGATGTCTTCCTGTTGCTATTTCTTGTCAGAATCTTTAACAAATTTAGGGGAATGTAAAGGTTGTATATCTTGAGATTTTTCCTCAGTATTTTACCATGTCAGGTACAACTATAGACACAGAACTTTAACATATGGGTGTAAATAGTATATGATAGTAGTGTTATGAATGCATTATGGAATCAAGATGAGGCATGGTTGACACTTTTTACATGGAAAATGGAAACAAAAAATGAAATATTGTGAAAAGGTTCTTTTCTTCTTCCAAAATTTCCATGGATTCCTGCTGCTTCTAAGGCAACTTAACATAGAATTTACAACCAATAGTGCCAATACATACAAGGGATTATTAGTTAGGAATTCTACAAGCAAAATATTCTTACCCACAGAGACCAAGTTGTTGTAATTCTCCAACATCACATCAATGTACAAAGCCCTCTGAGCAGGGTCAAGGCATTGCCACTCCTCTTGGGAGAAGTCCACAGACACATCCTTGAATGTCAAAAGACCCTGAAACAAGAGAATTGTTTGACCATGTGTTAATAGGCAGAGTGCTTTTGTGTATATTATTAGACTTGAGAGAATTAAGGATGTAGATGATGAAGACATTTAATCAAACTGATGATTTTAATATAGTCACCATGTATAATGGATGTTCTAGGTTTGTAAAAACAGTATGACACAACAGGGTCACAAGCAATATAAACAAAACTACACACATTCAAGGTCTGAACATTGTTATGTATCTGTTTTGGATGCTGTGATTATGTCCTACAGGATCAGAGTGTACATGACTCAGAAGGAACACTTATGATGAGGAAAAGTGCTTTAATTGCTGTTCCTGTAGATCATGGCAATATACTGCTCTTCTGTCAACTCTGTGAATTCTTTGATTTTACATGATTCTATTATAACATGCTCAACTCTGTGTTTGAACCGTATGTCCCTTGCCATTCCATTATACAGCAAAGTGATAGATATGGAGGGTATAATTCATGGTTGAGTTCACAAGCAAATAATTTTCTCTTTTTTTCCACAGTAACTCTGTGTGTGATAACATTGTATACTGTTGCTTTAAACATTAACATATAAAAACAGGTAACCTATGAGCTTATTTTTGAGTCACTAATAAGCAGATAGAAAAAGCCACATCAACCACATTTGACACAATCTAAAATTTACCTAACAAAATGAGAATATGGCAACTTATGCTGAATAACAATTTCAAATATTTGGAAGAATTTTTCATTTCTGTAGAGTTCTAAAAATTGAGGGAAGTCCTGTTACAGGATATTTGTTTATATTGCATGCATGACCATGTGTGTGTGTTTTGCCTCACCTGCTTAATGCACCTGATTGGCTTAATAAAGAGCCAAATGACCACTAGCGAAGCCAGAGTTTCATGGATAGGGAGAACTCAGGAAGAATCTGGTGGGGAAGTATACGCCAGCAAAATCAATAACAAGTTTTAAGAAAGGAGGGCAGGTAAAAAGCCACATGACAGAACATAGATTAACAGAAACATGTAAATTTAAGTTATAAGAGGTAGCTTGGAAGAAGCCTAAACTAAAGGCCAATTCATCAACAACAATAAATCTCATTGTCATTATTGCAGACCTGGTGGTCCCACAAGATAAATCAAATTACAATCTCCAAAAATATATCCTATGATGTTTAAGTTGTACTAAGCAAGTACACACAATTATAAATGTCGATTTATTCAGAAGTGACATATATTTAATATAAGCAAAAGAATATAGTAAATTCTGTGAGAAATATCATCACCTTGTCAGTGCTTTTGAAATGATATAGAGCTCAGAAGAACAGCTCAGGAAAAAAATTGGGCTTTTTTTTGTATCTGAATTTTGTAGTTGTAATGATTTCCTTTTTAGTACTTATCTAAAAGATTGTATGTTATTAGTGTTTATGAGTTTTCCTTTATTTCTCTAGAAGTGCATGGTGACAACATATTCTGTCTGAGCCATGAGGAAGGTATAAATGCAAACCTGTAGGTCAGAGCCCATTCCCCAAGTCTCCACTTTAAAACACTGTATCTTCAGGGTAAGGGAGGAGAGCCATGACCTTCACAGCAACTGACTAGAACAAAGCAATTGTGAGGAGTGTTCTTTATGCATCAAACTTGATGGCTTCTGTGCATCTATCAGTCAATACCATCAAGATATTATTCCTGGTGCATTCCACATAATGCTGTATAATGATTCCCAACCATGAAAACCTGCATAGTGGGATTCTATTGGGGGCAAAAAGAAAAAGACTAATAGAAATACTAATCTCTGGCATAATGTGGTGTTATGTGCCATTAATCCCAGCACTTGGGCACAGAGACTTGTGGATCTCTGTGAGTCTGAGACCAGACTGGCTTACATGCTACTTCTAGGAGAGCCAGGGATGCACAGAAGGATTGCTTTCCAAAACAAAACAAACAAACAAAAAACCAAAACACTGCTCTCCGTAGCTTGGGTAGTTACAACTGAGCATCCTAAATATGTGTGTAGCGCGAGGAGCAAATATCCTGAGACAACTAGATGGCAGGTGTGAACAAATACATGGATATATCATCACTACTGTGTGATGGGGGAAGTCCTTGTGTATACGTTGTCTCATTGGTTGATTAAATAAAGCACTGTTGGCCAATAGGGAAAAAGATAAGAGGGGCTAGGAGTCAAGGAGGATTCTGAAAAAGAGAGGCACAGTCAGTCACAATGTAGGATGCAGGAGAAATAAGAGGTCTATACCCTTTTCTCCTGTAAGAGAAGACCATGTGGAAATATAGTGTTTCCTGTGTTATTTGGGGGCTGAGACAGCTCGGGACCCAGGCCGCTGGTGGGAAGACTACCCATTACAACCGTGATATTGAACACCAAGGAGAAATTCAATTAGACTACTTTGGTAGTTTGGATGTAATTGCCCTACATTGTAAGTGGCACTATTAGGAGGCATGCTTTTGTTGTTTTCAGTATGGCCTTGAGTTAGGAAGTGTGTCACTGTAGGGGAGAGATGGAGATCTCCTTTCCCAAGGTTCACTCAATGTGTCATTCGACTGACTTCCTACTGACTGCAAATTCAGGACTCTCAGGTACTTCTCCAACTTATCTTTCTGTATACATCCATGATGATAATGAATTGAATCTCTGAAAATGTGAGCTCAATTAAATGCTGTCCTTTAGAAATGGTGCCACCATCTTAGTCTCTTCACAGCAATTGAAATTCCAAGTAACACAACTACAATTTGAATCTACATTCAAGAATACATTTTCATGGTAGGATTAAGCCACATGTACAAGCTGCGTTCCACACTGTTCAGTGTGCTTAATTTTTAGTAATGGGAACCAAGAATTACTTATCATTGAAAACCAAGCTTTGTCTCTTAATTGCATCTATTGCTAGGATGTTGTGACCTCTGTCCCATGTGTTTCAATATGTGGTCTTTATAACCATTATTCAAGAAAATGGGACAGTGCTCACAGAGACTACATGACACAGGAGCTGTCACTTACTAAAACATAAAGTTGTATTCCATCTTCTACAGCAAACAGGCATCGCATACATGTATTTTATGGTTATGTGTTAAAATGTAAATATCTTGAAAGTTAGAGGTCATAAGTTCAGGTGGCATATTTACCTGCCAGGGAAAAATAGTCTGGGAAGTACTAAATGGAGAAAAGTGGTAATGTGGGTTAATTGAATTACATTGTATAGTTGTTGTTATAAATACTGCCTGGTATTGTCATAAAAGGTAGATGAGAAAATATGGTAGAGGAACAAGAAAGAAAAGCAGAAGGCTAAGCATATTTAATATTTCTCAAAGGATGCAAAAAGTACAGTACAAAAATGTGTTCTTTTCTACAAATGATTCTGGTAATTTAATTAGATTCTTTCATTTGTACAAATTTGGTCAAAGAAATGAAAAACTTTATTTAAAGCCAGAAACACATACAAATCTAGAAAACACAGAGAATACCCACCAGGATGTTGGTATGGGCAAGGTATTATTGATTAGAGAGAAGACCAACAGCACAGGAACAGAACACAGAGGACTATATGAATACACAATGTTTCTATATGGAAACAATTAGCAGTACCCACATACCCAGCTGAAAGGAGAAAATCTGTACCAGCAGAACTTCAGATAGAAGCTCATACATAGAATTTAAAAAGAATTTCAGAAATTAAATTAGAAAGAACTAAAACTGCCAAACAAGAAAAGGGCAAATAATTGAATAGACACTCTTGAAAGACAAATACACAAAGGACCATTAAATATTGCAAAGGTGTTCCCGATCCATAAATACCATCATGGAAACAGAAACCAAAGATGATTTGGAATATGGCTGTCATCATCTAACCAGAAAACAAATATTAGAGAAGATTAGGAGAGAAAGGAACACTCATACACTGTTGGTATATGAACAGGAGTGTAAATTAATACAGTCATTCTGGGAATCAGCTTTGAAATTGTTCACAAAATTGAAGAGACAATATATGACCCATCAATGTCACTCCTGAGAACATAACCAGAAACCTCCACATCCCAATACTTACAATATTTGCATACCTTATTCACTGCTACTGCATTTACCATAGGAAAGTATTAAAATCAACATAATTCTACTAACATGCTATACATATAAACTGCAATATCATGCAGTTGAAGAGAAAATGTCAACAAAATTTTCTGTAAAATGGACTTAGAATGTGTACTATTAAGTGAAGTCACACATTGTCAGAAAGAAGAAATCACATTTTCCTCATACACAGAAACTTGTCAATAATATATGTATATGAGAAACAATATGCATGAGGGCACACCAGAATACTGAGGAAAGCAAACAGACTGAATATCAAGGTTGAGGTAGGACTAATAAAGGTAATGAACACCATTTATAAAATCAGATATATATCTAAATGCTCTTCTACCTCTAATTATATCACAGTTATTTTTATTTTCTGTTGGATAACTTGATAAATATATGTTCAATAACCAATTTGTAAAACTCCTTTTGTAAGACTCCAGAGGTTCTGCTCCCAATGAATATTCTTGCTAAATAAAAGTACATTTTTTTGTACAAAGTTTGGGTCTGGTTAATTGCAGTGTGGTTTTTATGTTGTTTGCTTATGTTTGTTTACTTGAAACAATTTCCATACTAAAATTTAAAATATTACCATCAGCAAAAAATTAATGACTTGCAATTATCTGAACATATGATATTTATAGAAAAGTGGACATGTCCACTGACCTGAGACATGCTTACTGGAGATTCACTCATTTCTTTCTGTTTTTCTTCTTTGAGTTTCTCTTTCAGGAACAATGAGCAGATAGATGGCTTGCTCTCCTGTCATATAAGGGAGAAAAGAAAAAAAATTAATACTGAGAGCTGTTAGAGAAAATGTCAGTTCAAATGAAAAATCCCAAGCAACCAAAATACTATGTATCCAGACAATGATCCTAAATCCAGAGGACTTTGAATGACATTTAGAGGTTGAAGGGAAAATCAGTCTCAACTATGATTACATTCAGAAAAAAAATCAATCTTAAAATTGATAGATACTTACGTGCATTTCAAGAAACTCTCAAGTTAATATAATTCATTTCACTAAA